TTTACATGGATAATATTGTCACTAGTAATGCATTAAATTGCATAATTTTGTATAAGTAACCAAAGGGAGTGATTCAAGAGATGATCCATAAGAGTTTAAATTATAGTGCACTTTATCTTTTTTTCCTTAAGCTAACTGGAAAAAGAGCAATTGTTTGATGAGAGAGTCTTTAGTGGCTATTTTATCCCCATTTATCTACCAAGGTTTTAAAGATCTACGATGCACTTTATCTCTCTCCCCTTAAGCCAACTAGAAAAGGGGCAATTACTTGATGAGAGAGCCTTTAATAGCTATTTTATCCCCATTTATCTACCAAGGTTCCAAGGATCTACGGTGAAAATCCTTATTGATTATCTACAGTGACAATTTTTATTGACTATTGAATAACAACCCCTTCCATGATGACATGGTTCACCCCTTCTTCAAAGATGTCAATGTCCTCATTCACACCCCCCTTCTTTAAAGATGTCAATGTCCTCATTCACACCCCCCTTTCAAAGATGTTATTTTATCCCCATTTATCTACCAAGGTTCCAAGGATTTACGGTGACAATCCTTATTGACTATCTATGGTGACAATCCTTATTGACTATTGAGTAACAACCCCTTCCATGATCATATGATTCACCCCTTCTTCAAAGATGTCAATGTCCTTATTCACACCCCCTTTCTTCAAAGATGTCAATGTCCTCATTCACACCCCCCCTTCAAAGATGTTAATGTCTTTATTCACACCACCCCCCCCCCCCCCCCCCCCCTTCTTCAAAGATGTTAATGTCCTCATTCACACCCCCCTTCAAAGATGTTAATGTCCTCATTCACACCCCCCCTTCAAAAGATGTTAATGTCCTCATTAACTATTGACTAATATATACAATTTCAAATTTAGGGATAGAAATATACTTTGCTCAAGGGTATATTATATTTTTAAATAGCCTATAATCAATAGGAATTGAACCCGTGCTATTTCCTCTGATACCACATGTAGCACACCCTATCTCTCCCCCCTTAAGCCAACTAAAAAAGAAGCAATTGCTTGATAAAAGAGCCCTTAATGGTTATTTTATCCCCATTTATCTCCTAAAGTTCCAAGAATCCATGGTGACAATATATCCAAATCTCATCCCATGATCACATTCACTACATAAATATAAAGGGAAAGGGCCCATGAATAAGAGTGCACCTCTTTTTTCAATTAGTTAAAAGTTTTGGGATATTTAAGATTAAACATCCTTGGGTTTGAATAATATTAGGCTGGATGACTTCCCGGGAAGTCCAAACTCAGAAGTTTACATTTGGTATCAAAAAGGTCTTGGGTTTGACTTTGTTAATTAGCTAAGGGAATTATACTATATGTTGATTGACATCTGGCAGGTCTAATTTGCTCCAATTGGGCTTGATTTGATGGGTAGGGTGTTAAGAGAGTGAGGCTCTTGGGAGAGCTATGGCTCTCAGCTTCCGTTCACGAGGGCATGAACTTACAAGAAAGCATAGTAAATTATAAGCAACCAAAGGGAACTACTCGAGAAACAATCTATAAAAGTTTAAATATAAAAGGAAAGGGCCCATGAACAAAAATTCACCCCTTTTTCCAATCGGTTAAGGGTATTAAAATATTTAGGGTTAAGTATCCTTAGGTTCGAATAATATTAGGTTGGGTGACCTTTCGGAAAGTCCAAACTTATAAACTTACGTTTTAAGAAGGAATTTCTTCAAATTTTGCATTGTTAATGTGTTTATTATATGCTAAATTTGTCTTGGAGGATATTAAATCACTAGGTGTCTCTTCTCATATCTTTATAAAAAAAAATCATTACTTTTATTATAAAAAACTTAAAAGTTTTTACAATGTATTGAAAGTTTAATTCTAAAAAGTTATTGTGACCAACTCAAACTTATTTTACCTATATGTTCATTTCATGAGCTAGCTTCTAAATGCTAAATTTATGGGAGGTTTGAGACGCATGGTCATGAGTTAGGAGTGGAAGTTTTAAAGTGAATATAATATGCTAAAGGTAATGATATTTTTTGAACTAAATGCTTAGAGTTTTTAATTATAATAGCTCTGATATTGAAAATGCTACATCTAGAAAATTAAAAAGAAGTTATATTTGGCCTAATTTTTGAAGTAATGGAAAGAATGATAGAAGGACTTATGGAGGTAGCAAAAAAGAAAAAAAAAAGTTGCTGTAAAAGTGAATATAATCATAAATTTCATTGTTAATATAGAATTAAAGGTGAAGGTTGATGGTTTATGATGCATAGTATCTTGCATGGTGCAATATATGTCTTGAATCCAACTTTTTTAGATACTCTTTTGGATAGAGAAATGTATATAAATTAACAAAAATACATGACTTTATACATTAAAGGAGATTTCAATCTAATAAATAAACTTGATGAATAATTCAATATATTTAGAGGCTAAAAAGGGAGAGCCATTACAAAGCCTCTTGCACAAAGCCATAATAAAAGAAAATATTTTATTAATTGGTGAAAATTGTATGGATATGAGATGCTTAAGCTTAGAAAGATAATATGACATATGCTTAGTTACTGTGTATGTGCCTCTCCATGTGAGAGGAATTGGAGTACTTGAAACTTAATCTAATCCAAGGCAAAAAATTCTCTTTTTTTTGCCAATTTAAAGAAGCTTATATATATATTAAAGTAAATACATAATTTCTAAATCATTTGGGGAAAGATAGGATGAGAATGTTGAAAATTGACTTGGACAAACTAAATGTTAAAACTAAATGGCAAAGAATTCTAAATATTTAATACTATATGGATCTCCTCTTAGAGAAAATGACAATGAAGAAGAGAAAAATAAGGAAAAAGGGGAAGAAAAGAACCATGATGAAAAAATAATAAAAAAAGATAATTAAGTAGTATATGAGTGGATTATGGTTTGAGCTTTATATGTTTTGTATGGCATGTTATGTAAAGTGTTTTATTACTGGCTCTGGGTTCAAATATTTTAAATAGCAAACTCAAACAATATTGAATTCATTCATGATTTTTTGTGGAAATTACTCTATTTCTTTATTTAACATCTTTATCTAATATCTTTATTTAGAAAATTTTTTTTTGGGAAAATTAGTTATATTCCATCTACAATCCTCACTAAACTATAAAACAATAGGTACAATTTATAATGAATCTTAAATCCCTCAAAACCTTCTCCCTTGAATTCATAAATGTTGTTAGAAGTAGAGATGATATGTAGTTGAGATATAAAGTTTTTCCTTCTCATATGCACATCTCTCAGTTGCTTTTATAGTATTAGAGCAATTGACTTTTTAAGCCTAGCATGGCATTTATTGGCCAAGAGATTAGTGACAAGCCTTTTAATTACAATCTTTTTTGCAATACTTTTGGATGTGTTAGATGTTTGAAGTGTTAAATCAAGTCACTAGGCTAGGCTATGTCGAGGTGGTGAGTAACAAGCAACAAACAAAGTATAAAGTTAATGAGAGATTGAAAAATTTCAACAACCTACATAAAAAATTGAGTCAAGATTCAAAAACAAGCTCTAGGTCATATAGCCCAATACTAACCCTAAATATCCAAAGACCATGCATTTTTATTTGTGGGCCATTTCCTTTTATATTTAAACTTTTATATATGAGTTATTCCATTTGATTTTTTATATGTAGTAATTCACAGCCAAAACTAATATGCTAATGGCTGAATTGAAGTCATAACAGCACTCAAGAGCAAGGCCAAGACCAAAATTCAAGTTTTGGGTAATTGATTAATGAGTTTTTCATATATTTTTCTTATCAACTCTCCAAACTCATCATCTCAAACTAGGCACAATTCAAGCTTAGGTTCAAGCTTCACCTAATCATGAATAGGAATGTTAGAGGTAGAGATGATGTGGTATGTAATTATGCCCATGTGATAGTAATTTTTATGTATATATACCATCCATATATAAGTGAGATATAAAATTCTTCCTCATGTTGCATGAGAGACTACTTTCATTCCTTCCATAGTGCTATCCCAACTCTAATACCATGGGACAAATGGGGATCAAGTGCACTATGCTAGCAGACAGAACAAGAAGCCCTTGGCAAGGTGTGTTGTGTAAGAACAAAGAAGACTCACTAATATCTCTCTGTCAAAAACCTTCACAGTGACTGCAGGCTTCTTGACACTGAATGAGTTCCCCATGCAGTAGAAAAGTTGGAGATCAAAGAACTTGACTTGTCAGTTTCATCACAGGGACTGGAGCTCGTAGAATTCTGCAAACTTTACAATATCGAAATGGATCAAGTGGATTGGCATGTGACTGGTACAAATCCAAAGCTATTGCTTGAGTATGCACATTCAGAATTGGCAGGTGCGATTGTCTTCATGAAGCTAGAGACAGGACAACAACATAATTCAGATCGGCTGGACTGGACTAGCACTGTGTGTTGTGAGACATCGCAGACACTCACAAACTGCACTAGCACTTCTGCAGCACTACTCTCCCTCGGAATTGCACTCCCGTTGTCATCCACTACTATTGTCACGCATGGAAATCTTTCCCACACGGCAAGTAGAGCACCAATTTATCAGCCAGTGGAAACTCGGGCAGTTGAAGCAATATGAGCACAAAGCTCTGTAACAGAGCTGCGTCCGAATGCTTAACAAGCATTTTCAGCATCGAGGAAAATCATGCAGTGGTCGTCCTGAGAGAGGTATCTCACGGCGTCACGCAGGCTGGTAGTGCCGGGCGGTCTGATGATATGCCGAAATCCACACGTATAGGTTGCCGCTGCTCCAATCTCTTTCACTTCTACTTCTGGGCCGCGGATGAAATCGATCAGCCTTTTCGTGAGAGCCCGGCCTGTGAGTAAACGCAGAAGTTCTGGAGGCTAGAACGGAGCGAGAACAAAACTATGCCCGCATACCCCAAGCGCAGCGCAAACAAGCAAAAGGCCACACAAACAATGCATCGCTGAGATTTCGCCGACCGTGGGGTTCGAACCCACGACCACAAGGTTAAGAGCCTACCCTCGAGCTAGGGTTTGGAGCTCGGGAGTTGGGGCTATGGCGGCAGCGATGGCGGCAGTGAATGCGTCCCCAGTCCCTTCGGGAGAGAAGTTGCCGTCGTCGCACAGCATCGAATCTGGCCACACCGACATTGTCCACGACGCGCAGATGGATTACTACGGCAAGCGCCTGGCGACGTGCTCATCGGATCGATCCATCAGGGTTTTCTCCGTGCCGCAGGGATCCCAAGGTGAGCACTTGCTGGCGACGCTGAGCGGGCACGACGGCCCGGTGTGGCAGATCTGCTGGGGCCATCCAAAGTTTGGATCCATCCTCGCCTCGTGCTCCTACGATGCCAAGGTGATCATCTGGAAAGAGGGCGCCGAGAACCAGTGGATCCAGGCACACGTCTTCAAGGAGCACGAAGCGTCGGTGAATAGCATCGCCTGGGCGCCCCACGAATTCGGCCTCTGCCTGGCTTGCGGCTCCTCGGATGGAACGATCTCGGTGCTCACGAACAAGCCGGATGGATCCTGGGACAGGGTGAAGATCCAGCAAGCCCATCCGGTGGGCGTCACCTCGGTGTCCTGGGCTCCCTCGGCGTCGCCCGGATCTCTCCTGGGCGATGGCCGCGCGGGCTTGATCCAGAAGCTCGTCTCCGGGGGATGTGACAACACCGTCAAGGTGTGGAAATTCGCGGATGGGCACTGGAAGATGGATTGCTTCCCGCCGCTCTCGATGCACAGCGACTGGGTGAGAGACGTCGCCTGGGCTCCAAATCTGGGGCTCCCCAAGAACACCATCGCCAGCGCTTCCCAGGATGGAACTGTGGTGATTTGGACGCAGGGGCGCGAGGGCGATCAGTGGCAAGGGCAGCTCCTCCACGATTTTAAATCGCCGGTGTGGCGAGCGAGCTGGTCTCTCACTGGGAATATCTTGGCAGTGGCCGATGCTACCAACAGTGTGACGCTCTGGAAGGAGGCCGTGGATGGGGAGTGGAGTCAAGTAAATACCATCCAGTGAAAGTTACCGTGGTAAAAAGTTTTCTCTCCTGTGTGGGCTGGAACCATTTGTTCTATGTTTATTTTTTTACAAAGTTAAAAAGCATGAACCCTAAAATGCTCAAGAGCCCTAGAAATATTTCGATTCTTGGAGGGGTTTGATGGCGATCGATCTGGTGAAGGCGGGCCAGCAGTGCCTTGGCGAGGTAGAAATCGATCGCGATTTGGATCTTGTTGTGATGGATTTGTCCAGGAAGCCGAGGATTTGCAAGGCGCCTTGGTGTATCTGGACGATGGAGCGCTGGAAGCGTTCCATTTTCTAGGCGGGCTTCCATTCTTGCTGCAGCTCGGAGCGCGGGGTGTGTGTCAGCTAGAGAATGCGTCGGCCTGCGACGAGGTATGGTGAAATTCTATGCGTGATCACTGAAAATGCTGTGATCTTAGACAGTTGTGTGGAATGGAGTTGTGGAGGAGCTCTCGAGGATTGTGATCGTGACGTCGCAGCTGCTGAGCGATTCCCATCGCTATGTTTTGCGCTGCATTCGTACTCATGCGAAGATCCAGCATTTCGTTATACTCTCTTCGATCTCACAGGTAAAGTTCTTTTCATCTTTCTCTTCTTCGAGTCTTTCTTATAAGTCCGTCCCTCGCAGGATGCTCACTCGAACTGTGGAGATACTCCGCTGGGAACCGATGCTTTCACCGAGTACAAAGACCTCTTGCTCCAAGATGTTCTCAAAGCTCTCACTCCCGAGGAGAGGCTTGAGAATTCAAGCGGTCCTTCTGTTACTGTGAAGCACTTGCCGATGCTGTGCTGCGCAGTAACTCCGAGAGTGTTCGTGTTTCCTTCCTCCGCAGCGTTTGCCACGGCTCCTCTCAGCTCCAAAAGAGAGGTTTCGTTTCTAAGTGCCGGACTACCAGCTTACGACAATGGTTTGGCTTGGGACGAGGATGAGCTCCCTCCTGCCGGAGCTACACTTCACGCGCATTTTCTCCATGATCTCGCTGGACAGGTACTTCAAGGCTCTTCTCTTCAGTTTTCTCTTGTGAACTTTTCTTTCTTTTGCAGCTCGATCTGAAGTTCGACATCTTCAGCTTGGGTCCACTGGCACATCTGGTTGGCAAGCAGCTGACGGAGATCTCTGGTGATGGCTTCGGACGAGCTAAAAAGACTGCTGGCCTGCTGCTGTTGGACCGTTCTCTCGATCTTATAACACCCGCCAGCCATGGAGATTCGTTGGTTGACAAGATCTATTCGTTTCTTCCCCGTCAGACACACCAAGAAAGCACTGCTTCCGTCAAAAGGCCATCAATGGACGTTCGAATACCGACATTAGAGGAAGAAAAGTCCTTCGTCCTTGAAACCAGTGACGAGACAACTTATGAAATTGCTGGTTCACTTTGCACAGCGTGGGACTTCCAGGGAGTGAATCGACTGGACATACTATTCGAGAAGAGAGCAAAGGACGGTGCTCTACTCGTCAGAAACTGGATCCAGGATATCTTAAGGCAGGAAGAGGTTGAAGTGTCGGGAAAATCGCGTTTGGTTACGAACTCCAAGGAGCTTTTCTCGTTGGCTACCACCTTGTTCAACAGTTCAGCTGGTTTGAAACAAGCGGGTCTTGTTCAACTGGGAAAGGCTGCTGCGGAAGTAACCACGGCAGCACGAGTTACACAGTGGGAGGCATTTGCAAGTGCTGAGAGGGTACTCGGTATCAGTGCTGCAGATGGGATTGAAACTCTTGCTTCTCAGCTCGAAGATCTAATCAGGCAAAGTACCTCGGATCACAGCGTGCTATCTCTGAGGGACGCCTTGACCATACTCATTGTGGGATACGCGCTCGCTGGAGAATATAGTACGAAGGAAGGTGGTCCATTCTCTTGGGAGGAAGAACGTAGCTTAAAGGAAGCAGTAACGGATGCGATTCTCAAAGGTCCAGCGGAACCGTCGCTGGACTTCTTGAAAGGCTTGGAGAATGCACTTGAAATGCACTGGGAAAAGGAAAAGACCAAGGCTCAAAATCAGATTTCCAGTCCCGATGACTGGTCCGAAGATCAATGGGAGAGTTGGGAAGACAACGATCAGCAAGAATATTCACAGATGCAGTTGAAGCTGGAGTTAAACGACAGGATCCAAGAACTATTCAATGCTCTACACAGAGTTGCTGCAGCGAGAACGCATTATCCACTGAGGGAGACACGCCTCCTTGGAACTCATCGGGGAGTAATCAACGAGCTTCTGTCGCTGGTGTTGTCGAACAGTGACATCCCCGGATTGAAACACCACTCCTCCACAGTGGGACGCTTTCTCAAAAGTGGACTGGGAAGGTTCGGGCTTGGACAGGTAGCAATGACTAACAGTCTTGAAAGCGTTCTAACATTGTCTCTTTTCAGGCAAAACACAAGCTTTCCGACCACAAAGTTCTGCTTGTTTTTGTAATCGGGGGCTTCAACGCCGTCGAGGTATCATCGGAGTAGAATCGTTGCAAGAAATGATATTGTTTTCCAGGTGCGGGAGGCGAGAGCCTTGCAGGGAGATTTCGATGAATTGTTGATGGGAGGAACCACACTTCTTACACCCAACGCCATGTTCGACCTTTTGCTGGGATCCTGTCATCTCTAACTCCAGGTGAAAGAATAGTTTTGTGAAGTCCCAAGGTTGCTGAAAAAAAAGGAATTTTGTTCTTGTTTTGATAGGGTTGAGCCTGAAGATGTTAGCGTCTCATCAAGCCTCCGGCCTCGCTTTCTCCAAAGGTACACACAGGCCGCTTTTTCTTGAAGCTCCAGGCAAATGGGCGAAGCTCAATTGCGCCGGGAAACAAAATTCCAGGAGGCCGGCTCTATCAACTAGCAAAGATCTTTCGGAAACAACCGAGACGAAAACTGTGGGTCTAGTAGTTGGCACCGATGTGGCTAGAACATTTCCAGAGAGCTCCTCATCATGGAGAATGACTGAACAGCACTTGGTATTTCTCGGCATCATGGCATCCGTGGTCAGTTCTCTTTCTTTCCTTCTTTTCCTTTCCTGACCTTGGATTTTGTAGATAATGGCCGCTCTCTGCGGCATTATCTTAGCCGCCATACCAACGCTACTGGTGAGAATCATCACCTAGTCTTCGTTTTGTCTGTTTTGCTCACGTTGTTCTCAATCACTACTCAGGCAATCAAGAAAGCAGCTGAAGCCATGGAAAAACTTGCAAAAACGACTCGCGAAGAGCTTCCGGGAACTATGGCTGCCGTGAGACTGTCGGGCATGGAGATTAGCGATCTCACCATGGAACTCAGCGACCTCGGGTAAGCAGTTTAAATTCACCATATCCATCTCCGAAAACAAGCTTTTCTCTTTCTCCCTCCTCAGGCAAGAAATAACAGCCGGTGTAAGACGATCGACACAAGCAGTCCGAGCAGCCGAAGATGGACTACGACGAGCAAGCAGCTTAGCATCCGCAGGTAAAGAAACCATCCCTTCTTCTTCCTTTCATTCCAACTCGTTATGTGTGTAGCGATGTGGCAGGCACAAACGCGAGCGGCAGTGCCAGTCCAAACCGTGGTCCAGCCATTGGTAGCCGAGAGAGCAAGGAACGTGAGACAGATGATCGCTCGAGCGAGGATGATCGTGAAGAATCTGGTAACTCTGGGCCAAATGTCTAGTTGGCTGGGAAGACACACCAGGAAGCACTGAAAGAACAAGCCCAAGTTCTTCCTTCTTTGAAAGGACCGTGAAGAAAAAGAAGAGATGGGAAGTTCTTCCTTGTTTTGACTCGATCGAGAAGAAAAAAAAGAGATGGAAAGTTCTTCCAAAGGATATGGGAAGCTCTTCCTTGTTTTGAAAGGATTGAGAAGAAGAGATGGGAAGCTTACAGGATGATCGCTGTGCTACTTCTTCTTCTTGAGAGCGTTGGAGTCTTTGATCCTCTGGCGATTGTCGAGCTTGACGAGGCGCTTGAGCTCCTGGAGCTTGAGCGACTTGAAATCCCTGCGCTTGAGATCGCTGAGCGGCGGCAGTGGCTTGTCCAGCGTCCACAGCCAGTCGGGATACTCGCTATCGGCCTGGATGGGAGGATCGCTACCTTCCTTGAAGATGTTTGCGCCAAGCACCACATTGACCCTTTGCTCCATGGGAACCGTCGGCCCTGTGGGCGCCGATGGCCCTCCTCGCCCTTTCTTCTTGCCGCCACTGCCAGCCGCGGGGGCGGCGCGCAATCGAAATGCGCATTGCAGTGCCCTGGATCGAGCTCCAGCGCCACCGATCGCCTGCGTCAAGACCATCCTCTTCGAAGAACCCTAGGTGCTCTGTTTTTAGGGTTCTTGAGATTAGGGTTTTTGGGGGAAGGAATGGCGAACCAGGGCGCGAAGAAGCGCAAGGAGGAGAACGAGAAGCACATCCAGTGGCTGCGGAACCTCATCCTTGTCTCAAATGTAAGCTAATCGATCCATCGATGCGCGAGTTTGATCTCTCCGTGGGGATTTCCAGGCCATTCACATTCTAGTGAGGATTTTGCTCCTTCGCTCCTCCGTGTCGTGGAGGCATTTCTTCCGGCTGCTGCTCTCCTCGGCCGCGTACAAGCTCTCGTATTCGCAGCTCCAGAAGATGGCCCAGCCTTCCTTTGACGAGCGCGGCGATCTCATCGATGGCGGCTTTGACATGTCCACTGGAGGACTTTGCAGGTTTTTTCTTCTTTGTTTCTTCTTCTTTGTTTCTACAATTTGAGATCACCGATCCTTCCATTCTTCTTTCGTGATTTTGTCTCGCAGCTATCTTCACGATATCATCTACATCACGAGCTTTGTCCAGGTTTCCAGCGTTTTCTCCGATTACTTTTGGTACCTCTACTGGGTGGTGAGAACTCTGTTTGATCTTTTCTTTCTTTCTTTTTCATGGTGGTCTTGTGTAGATCCCTCTGTTCGCTCTTTACAAGCTGTGGCAGCTCGTTTTGTACCCATTTGTCTTCCAAAGCTCGCCACAGGTATTTGAGCTCCTTCTTTTTGCTTTCTTTTCTTGACGAGGGCGCTTTGATTTCACAGGACGCTGGCGAGGATGAAAAAGCCAGAAAGAAGAAAGAGAAGAAAGCCAACAAAGTGAAATTCTCCCGGGTTAAAACCCGCTAGTAAGGTTTTGAGTGAAGAAACCATCAGGTAAGCGGTAATAGAGCTTCTTCTTATAATTTTTCCAGACAGTCAGGGAGATTAACGCTTGAGTTCGCTGGAGGCCATGAAGATCTGGGAAGGCTAAAACTAAAGCTGGAGCTCAGAAGTGGTCATTAGATTGAAATACCAAATTGTTGTGAGTTGCCTCTATCTGTGATTCCTCCATTCTTGGAGCGGTAAGCTGTTTATCATGCATATTGTTAAATAATTATATATTACTTTTTGTAACTAAAAATGGTTAAAGCAAAACTAAATTAATAAAATAAAAATCTTATTCAGTAGAATTTAGATTAAAATTTAAATTCCTTACAAAATTATCATAATGCATTGAAGTATTAGAAGAAATTAAAGAAAATACAAGTTTAATACTTTTAATTTTGGTTGAATTTAAATTTATTATATAAGTAGAATATATATAACTTGATACAAGTTTATTTGAATATACCTTTAGCGAAATATTCTGATGATATATCCAATGTAAACATATTCCATTAAGGCAGACGCTAGAGTTGGTAAACATATAAAAGTAGCCAATAAATTAAAAATTATAAATACCTCTAAATCAATTATTTATTTTAACTTATATATGTTAAAATATTCAAGAAATTTAATTGATAAATAAAATCTTAAAAACTAGTATAAAATAAAATTGATTAATAAGCAAATTTTAGTCTCATTTGATTTTCTAAATTTAACTTGATAAAATTGTTGCCTAAGGTGTTTAAAAAATCTAGCAAAGCCACTCATACTAATAATATAATAATTAATTTTATTTTATTAAGATATAATAAAAATAGTAAAAATATATTTAAAGTATGTACATAAATCTAAAATTAATTGTGTTACTAATGAAAGTTTTCCATTAAAAAACCAAGATAATATATAGTTATTTATATAATTAATAATATAACTATATAACAATATATAATCTTTGAAGTTGCTATTAATAATTGTTCATATTCTATAAATAAGTTTTAATAAATATTTTTTAAATTATTATTTTTAACAATAAAAGAAGGGTCAATTTTGAAAAAATTTCATTTTAATGGTGCTGGATAAAAAGGGACCTTCCTTTGTGTTATAACTTTATTTATATGGAGATAGCTGAAAGTAACAATAAAAAGTGTTATTCATATTAAATAGTTTAGTACATGCACTAGTATAATTTTTACTTTTTTCATTAAAAATGTTTGTTCAAGCTGAAATGAAAAAAAGTTAATATAATGTTACAAATATCAACAATAAACTCTAAAAGTATATATGTAAATTTTATTTATCTTGGATATGTAAATTCTCGCCAAAAATATTTACAGTATTAATACATTACCTACATTTTGACTTTAGTAAAAGAACTCCAATAAATAAAACATAACACCCAAAATCTTAAAATAAGAAGCCATTTATATAAATAAAATGACCTTCATTACCATAAACATCTGTATATTTTGAGTTTCAAATCAATCACTGGTAGGAAATGTTTTAAAAATAAATAACATTTTTTCCTTTCTAAATGAAAATGTGATACAGACAAATATCAAGGCCTTGTTTCTTGATAGCTTACAAGGGCATCCATATCAACTTCAATCTCTGTATCTGTCCCAAATACGGGCAGAACAATTTTCACCTAAGAAATAAATCACAATAAAAAATGTTAAACAAGATAAAAAAGAAAGAAGTTGCACCTTTCCAGCCGGAAGGAACTCAAGGATTGTTCCTTGAAAGTTTTGATAGGCACCAGAGATCACTGCAACCATGTCTCCAACTCTCAAATGCCCCTGCCGCTGCTCGAGATCATCCACCTCCTTGACCTCCAGAAGAACTTGATCTTCCGAGGCTTTCTTTTTCTGTTGTTCAAGCTTGAACTCTCGTTCTCTTGTCGCAGCTTCTTCACGAAGAGCCTCGATCTGATAGCTCGGGACTGGCGCGGGGATATGAGCATCCGGGTAGCCACCTTTCATCATCTTTGTGTCATAGCCAGCCCTGCCAGAAATCTCGTCTAGAAAATCTTAAAGAGAGAGAGAGAGAGAGATAGAAGATAGAAGATCAAAGGAAAACTCACTTCATCTTGTATGGAAACGCTCCCACGAAGCAAAAGACCGAGCGTTCGTTCATAACATGCCTGTAAACTGGAGCCTCGAGAACGCAGCGAAGGAAAATATGACCCCTGAGCATAGCTTTCATAGCGAACCTGGATTTTCCACGAACAACACTCTCGGTGGGAATTATGGGAGACCATACCTTGCATCGAGGCAGAAGAAATCCATTCACTACTCCCTTCATGAACAAGAGAAAAAAAAATGTTCTTTACCTCGAACTTTGCATCTGGGAATTCGGCCTCGAGCGTCGAGCGAAGAGCTTCCATGGACTCGGCCTCGTTGTTGGTGAACACTCGCAGCGTGTACCACTGCATTCCCATCTTGGCGAGATTCGCCAGGCTTGGATCGCTCTTCTTCTTCCTCCTTTGATCCATCTTCTTCTTCTCTTCTTCCTCTGGTTTGGGCAACTTACGCGATGCCGCGAGCTCCAGCCGACGCTCGTTCTTCTGCCGCCGCCGCTCCCTCCCTGTCAAATCCGTGTGCTCTACTGCCGATGCTACTGCGTGGATGCCGGCATTGGGCCGCCGGAGGAGCGCCAAAGCGAAAGAATCTAGTCGCACTACTCTATCCATAAACCCTAAGTCACGAATAATCAAGGAGATTCCAAATTTAAATTCATAAACCCTAATTCCCAAAAGAGGGGTTTACGAAGAAGGAACATTACTTGCTGTGAGAGAGCTTGTCCTTTTGACGATCATCAATCCTGGCAACAAGTTTGTGAATCGTCCTTGATCTTGCATCGATCTAAATGACTCCAAACTGATTGATGGAGCGCTAGAAAAACGTTTGCACGGCACATCCGTCCAGATCCCACTCGAGTCAATTCCAATCCCCAATTCCAATCACTCCCTGGGAAACCATAATTCATGCTTTCGCTCAGTCGCCCATGAAGGCATCGAGACAACACCAAAATTAACTCCATCCATTTTTCTGGATTCGTCTCGCTGCCAGCCAGAAAGAACCACTTTAAGGTCGCCACTCAAAGTCTATCATCGAATCAAACGAGAACACACCCTATTGACAAAAAGTGTAGGAAACTTCACGACGCCATGCTCGATCCTCAATCAATCAATCAATCAAAAAGGTGGTGGCGGCTCCAATGAAAATATATACGTGTAGATTTGGTGCTTGACCACGCCCCGGCACCATAACTCTTGTGTGTTCTTTGTCTCTCTCTCGTTCTCTCTCCAATTTGAAATGTTTCTAGATAGATAGAAATGCCATCTCTCCAACTCCACCTATGATTCAAGGCAAGATCACGACGAGATCAAAGCTTTAGAATTCACAAACAAAGATCGATCGATACATGGAAAGCGTTACAAAATTGATTGATTCCTTTGGCATCTTTTGGCCGAATGAAAAGATATCCTTCCTTTTTACCCCCCCGCGACTAGCTACTTACCGACAGTTACGCTGCGTGAAGCGTAAATGTGAACCGTGTTTAACGGTGCACGGGAGTTGGGACGCACCATTCAATTCATCGGCGACATTCCAGCCACGCACGCAGGACTGGAATATCCCAGTCAATCAGCCTCTGGTTAATCTCTGTAAAAACGAAAAAAACTTTCACCCGGGTTTCTGGTAAAACACGCGGGGTGAAAACGACGCTGCTGTGCTGTGTTCTCGTACCTAAATTCGTGAAAAAGGTGGGAGAGGTTTGATTGAGGCAAACACGAGACAATAGACCGATCTTGTGACAACGCATTCATGGTTTTCATTCTCCCGCGGGGAGGAAAAGTTGGGCGATCTTCTGGCTGTAAGTCGAATCGATCGATCTTTTTCCACTCGCGTTACATACTTGTATGTAGTTTTCGCTCCTCCGGATGGATCGAGGGAGAGATATCCATCACTTCCTCGCACACATTTATAACATATATACGAGCTCTCGCGCTCTTCTCGACCTTTTCTTTCATATGACCCAAATCAATGCGAGCAAACAACACCAACAGCACTGGAGCTGGAACTGGAGAGGCGAGGATCAAGGAGCTCTTAAATTCCCAGGATATCTAGAGCTGTAATGCTGCTGGTTTGAGAGAGAGGGAGAGAGACAAAGACAGATGATCTCTCTTGGTTTGGAGCGAGTTAAGGAAAAGAGAGACGATGGATCGCCGGAGCAGTTTTTAGCGAGATTTCTTTTCGCGCAAACATCGATCTTGAATGATCTAATCATGGTACAGAGACAAGCACGGTGGAGTTGAATGGTGATCAAAGGGTTGGAATGGGATGGAGATCATGGATGATGCATGGGCCTGAGCGATCGCGATCTCTTCTTCCTTTCGCCACCCCCTGATATAGGTAGGGGTGATTTATGAGCACGCAATCACCATATAGATATACGGTCCATTGGCCATTAAATTGGACTAGAAAAGGTTTATCATTCACTCAACATTGTCTGTTATGTTTCGCATTGAATGAATGCATGGCATGGGTAAGATGAATGGGTGGCATTGTATGGATATGATTCATACATGATCATGGCATGGGTATGGCAATGGTGACATGACATGGCATGGCGGGCGTAGGTGGATTTGGCAGCGCAGGCCCTTTCCATCCTCCGCCAAATGTAGAGGTGATTTTCTGGCAGTGGCCAGTGTGCCAAATTTGGGCAATGTGACCATTAATTGCTCCACTGCGCAGAGGCCGTCAGGACTGCGGACGCCATTAATGATGGGTGGGGCTCGAGAGCTCAAAACGCTCCCGGCCTACGCCATACAACGCGGGAGTCGGGCGTTTGGGCGTAGGTCGCTGGGCGATCGCCCGTCTCCTGGACAATGTACATGTCTATGGCACATCTCCACGTTTTTGTTTTATTACTGTGTAAATTACAAATATTTTTAAAATATTAGAAACATTTTAGAAATATTAGAAATATCCATAGTTTTATCCGAAAAGTCAAATACCAAAATGTTATCGAAATGTTTCTAATATTTTAAAAATATCTCAAGCTTCAAAAATAATATAAACAATTCGAAAACTATTTTGACCATTAAAAGTTACCAGGAATTTCATTTATATTGAAATATATATTGTTTATCCATCCACATGGATGCCATG